GTTACACTGAATGAAAAAATCACTGATAATTTCCCATTACGCTGCTCTCCTGCCTGACGTACGATCTTCACTGCTTCATCTCCATATATTCCTAACGTAAAAATTGGAAAAAATCTTACTAAATTATGGTTAGAAGGTTGTGGCTGTCCTTTGCAATGCTTGTATTTCGACACTTACTAGAGTTTGTAGAATTGTTTTTACAAGTTGTATTTGTCAGTCAGCTCCGGGACAAGAAGATACTCACTAAATGGTTATAATTATGACTATAATATTTATAGGGGTGGACCGGTAAGCCAGCGGAAGGCCTCGGTCAGATGACTAGAAGTTCTAACAGCGGGTCATCTAAGACCCGCGTCAGGAAACATCTGTCCTGTTTCCTGACGAAACTTACCTGACCTAACAAGCTGGAGGGAGCTGCCGACATTTCTAAACACCTGCCTATGTTAAATGTAAGAGCCATTGATCACTAAATGATCATTAAGGGTGTAATTGCTCGCGGTCATTCAAGAATACTTCACGTCTTAAAATGAAGATTAAATGACACCCATTCTGCCCTAAACTCTTTAAATCAAGAGTTCTTGGTGCCAGTGAAGAACTCTTCATATAAAAACTTAAAGGTACACTTTGTACCTTAATCTCCGTCTTAAGACCTTGATGCCCGTCAAGAGTCCTTGATGGGCATTATGGTACTTATCCTTGAAAAAAAAGGGTTTTCCTAAACAGAGTAAGAGGGGCGTTTAAGCCAGCATGAATACGTAAGGTTGAAAATCTAGTCTTCCCATTCATTTTTCGGAGTTATTACATAAACAATTCTTCAGGAGAGGTGTACTGATGATGCTCAAGGGCTTTTGATCCAGGGGCTCGAAGCTCCCTCTTTTCCTTAGATTAACCCTGGTTGCCTCCTATAGGAGCTGTGTCATCCCTGGTAATAATAATAATAATAATAATAATAATAATAATAATAATAATAATAATAGTCATGGTAATAATTAATAATAATAATGATAAAATAAATGATAACAATAATCATAAAAAATAACAATAACAATAATTATATTACAACAAATCGTGTCAAGATCAAGCCAAAAAGTGGTACCGTTGATGATTCAAGGAAGCTTCCTCTTGCCACTGTTGTGCAGAAAGCATTGCAAGTGAAATTCAATGCTATTTTGTCACTGAAAGAAGCATTCATTGTTGTATGTCACGATGATGCTGAAGCAGAGAAGTTACTCACTACAGAAGCCACCACTACTCTTACTGCTCAAGGGTTTACTGTTACATCCTCTCCTGCCCTCAGGGCAAGGAAATCAGTATTCCTAAAAAAACTGGACAAGATTCTGACTTCTCAATCAATTGCTGAACTCAAGTTATCCATTGAAAAGCAAAATACTTGGGCTACTGTTGATAGCATTACCAAAATCCCGAATGCATCGTCTATGCTCAAGGTCACCTTTACCGACGTGAACATGGCTGCCACTGCTCTGAACGAAGGTCTTGCTGTTTACTACTACTACATCAGTCCCACCTACATAGAAGCAGAGAGATACCACTACATCCAACATTGCTGGAACTGTTATTCATACCATCACACCACTAAAGCATGTCCAGTAAAAGACAAGAAGTTCTGCACTACATGTGGTAGTGAGGGACACACCTTCAGTTCCTGTACCGCTGCTGCTCCAACACAACCAGCGTGTTTAAACCGCTAAAGTAATGATCACCATACACTGGCAGCAAAATGTCCTACAAGAAAGGATATTATGAAGAAACAACAAGATGCAACAAAGAAAAAATCTACCAACAACACACCAACGTATGCCGCAATTGCAAAGTTGCAGGCAGACACAAAAAAATTACTTCAAGCATCTACTCAATCCGCCTCCACCTCCACCATCACTCCTCCAACATGTGACGTAACGAAGATCCACTATTGTTTACTATACGCTCACATGCAGAACATGGCTGTACCTGGATCTTTTAACTCTACCATCAACGAGTTATTTGCATTAAATAACATGCCATCATTCACATTTCCAGCATCGCCACCTTCTGAAGGCTAGGCTAGGCTAGATTCTAGGTAAGACCCCAAGAAGGGGTGAGATGGGAAGTGGGGATAGAGGAAGAATAGGTTGGTTAGAGGAAGGGTTCTTGTAAGAGGGAAAGAACCAGGGCTTAACCCAGTAGCTGAGCTGATGGTGATTCAGGAGGTCGTGCGCAACTTAGGGACTGGAGGGGGGGGGGAGGAGGGGGGGCGAGAAAGGGTGAATCGCAGGTACGAGGGCGATATTAAAGGTCCATACCTGTGAGTTACAGGTTAGTGATTCAAGATTTTAGCAAGGTTATTTGTATATAGGAATTGGGTCAGGAGCTAGTAGAGAGTAGAAGAGGTTGTGTGTGTGTGCAGGTCTGCGTAGTTCGTCATCTAAGTATGAGGTCCAGTAGTCATGTCGGGTCTCTAGTCTGTCTATTTGTTTGTCGCTAAGCAATTTTTGGTACACGTTTAGTGCAGGGATGTTTGCACGGGCGTGGGTGGACTCACTTGTGATGAATTCATCCCAGCGTGTGTTAAACACCCAGCGTAAGGCTTTGTTCTGGATGCGTTGTAATTTACGTTGGTTTGTCACAGCTTCTAGGGAGAGGGCTAGTGGGCAGTAAGTTATTAGTGGACGAATGAGGGTTTTGTATAGTTGTAGTTTCGTTTGTATGGAGGCTTGCCTTAGCTTGAATAGCCCCGATAGGGCCTTGGATGCAATGGCTTGCTTCTGGTTGATGTGTAAGTGTATTCGCATGTTTTGGTCTAGGACGTTGGTTGTCCGCGAGACAGGGATGTTTGTGTGGGTATCAGCTATCCTGAGTATTACTGGAGGAGGTGGTTCGCGTTTCCTGTAGTGGAAGTAGGTGATTTTGGATTTTGCAGGGTTGGTTTTAATTCTCCATTTTTGTTCCCAGTGTGTAATCTGGTCTTCTTCGGCTTGTGTTCTGCGGGCTAGAGTGGTTATTTGCCTGTGTGTGGTGAGTTGGGTGATGTCATCTGCATATGCAAGTGTGATGGTGGAGTCAAATGCAGGTGTTGGGATGTCTACTTCGGCTTGTGTTCTGCGGGCTAGAGTGGTTATTTGCCTGTGTGTGGTGAGTTGGGTGATGTCATCTGCATATGCAAGTGTGATGGTGGAGTCAAATGCAGGTGTTGGGATGTCGCTATATACAAATAACCTTGTCAGGGTTCAGTCCTCTCACCCACCCTCTACATGGTGGGTGAGAGGACTGAACCCTGAGGAACTCCAGCATGTAGTGGGAAGTACTGTGAGAAGCATCCTTGGAACTTAATCCTCATGGTCCTATCATCTAGGAAGTTACAGAGTAGTTTGCTGATAGTCTGAGGGAGGTCGAAGTTGGTACATAGCTTAAACTTTAAACCATTGTGCCACACTGTGTCAAAGGCTTTTTCTACATCTTTGGCTACTAGAGCTGTCTTGTTCCCTTGGTGTTGGTTTATGTGGATGTAGTTTAGAATTATATTGAGTGCGTCTTGAGTGGAGCGATTTGATCTGAAGCCAAATTGGCCATTATATAAGAGGGAGTTTGTTTCAAGATGCCTACGTAGTCGTGAGTTTATGATTTTTTCATAGATCTTTCCCAGTAATTCGAGTAGGCTGATGGGGCGGTAGTTTTTTGGGTCAGAGTGGTCTTTATTGGGTTTTGGGATGAGGATAGCAGTGGCTGCTTTGAAGAGAGTGGGGAAGTAGCCGGATGCAAGTGATGCATTGAGGAGGTTGGTGAAGGCTGAGATGATAGAGTCAGTGAGGTGTTTTAGGATGATATGGTTGATGCCAGAGGCTCCTGGTGCTTTTGGAGGGAGGCGCTGAATGAGAGTTTTTATGTCATAGGCTGTGATGGGGGTGTCCGGTTCCTGAGTGGCAGTCAAGTTGTATGTACCTGTCAGGTGTCGTTAGGTGTACGTGGTCAGTGTTCCATTGGTCTATTTGTTGTGTATGTGGCAGAGTGTCTGGTAGTGGAGGGTGTGGGTGGAAAATGTTCTCCCATATTTCTTTGAAGATGTTTGTTGCTGTTTGTGGGTCGGTGATGTTTCTGTTGTCGTGGGTGATGTGTTCGAATTTTTTGTTGTTGTTGTTTCCTGGGATTTTGTTGAAGTTCCAGAAAGTTCTGGGGTCTTTTATGCGTTGCACATTTGCCTGGTGTATGAGTCCAGCCCAATGGGTGTTGTGGTCCTGCTCTAGGCTATGAAGTATGTTATTCCTGAGGTATGTGAGGTCCTGTCTTACCTGGTTGAATCTGTGTGTGTTGAGGCGGAAGCGGTTATGGTAGCATATAAGGAGTCTTTTGGTTCTGGTTGAGGGAGTAAATGAGTATCTAATGGTGTGTGTCTTTGTGGGTACCGCAGTGTTGGTTGCACGTTTAATTGTCTCAAGGATGGTATCGAGTTGTGTGTCAATATCTGTGATTGGTTTGTTGTTGTAGTCATAGTTCAGATTTGTGTTGTTGATGGTGTTTTGGAAGGACTCCCAATTGGCCTTCTTGTATGCTGGTGTTGGTGGTGTAGGAATACAAATTGGGTTTGTCGAGATATGTAGTATGATGGGAATGTGGTCGGATCCAGTGATGGGGCCAGGAGCTATGTAGTGTTGGAGGATAGTGCTGGCTCTGTTTGCGAGTATTATGTCAGGTTTCCCTTGTCCTTGGTGCCCATAGAAGGTGTTGAATTGTGGACCTAGGTGCCGTAGATGTTTGTGGTTTGAGAAGTTATGTAGTTGTGTGCCTAATTGGTTGGTGGAGTTGTGGTTGAAAGCTGGGTGTTTTGCATTCATGTCTGCCAGCAGGTAGGAGGGAATGTTGGTGTGGTTGAAGACGAGAGATAGATCGTGTGCACTGATGGCTGTGTTGGGTCTAACGTAAGTGGTGAAGAATATGAGGGGTCCTAGTTGAGTGTGTAGTCTGACAGCTAGGGAGTGTTGATGTGTGAAATGGAGTGGTAGGAATTC